AGTTAAAATTTGAAAGATAAGTAAATGTGAAACATATCAGTCAGAAACATGTAATTTTCCAACTAAATAAAAACAAAATGGTTGACAAGCTAAAGGCAATAATCAACTTGAGAAAAATCAAATATGTTCTGTGCAGCAATGTATGAGTTAATCAAGACTGGATTAACTGATTGTTTTTAAAATATGAGGAAATTATATAATTCTACTTTTGTTGATGTAATTATTTTATTTCTGCAGTTAAGAAAAGAAGAATAGTGGTTCTGAACCTATGATTTTACTAAAAATCAATAAATAATCACAGAAGTGGAGGATATTGTATGGTCATTTGTTCCATTGCCTGACCCTCAATTAAGCAACAATCATTTAAAATATGACTTGGATTTTGATCTATTTCAGCTTATTTCATCTTTCGTGTATATTAATTATTAAGAGATGACAAGTCAAGTGCTAGGAAAAGCAGGTACGTGGGACAAAACTGCTCCATTTCCAAAATAAAAAAAAATACAATCTTATAAAAAACTCCACATAGACAAAGAGAACCAGTTTGGTTAAGGCAGTGAGCTAGAAAGTGGGAGACCATGAATTTTAGTCCCACCTTACATGCAGAGCTACCAGGTAACCGTGGCCAACTTCTAAAATCTTGCCCAAACGTGCAGGGACTTGTCCAGGTAGTCACCAAGAGTCAACACTAACCTGAAGGCATCCTGCCCTAAAGTAATGGGTAGCACTAATTTATTTAGATTCTAGCTTCAAATTGCAAGCTTTGTCACCATTTCTCTAATTATAAATATTTTATTGTTGCTTTTAGTGGAAAAATATATCATTGTCAAGATTATATCAAAATACTATTAAGAAAAGTGTTTCTTTTTGCATAATCTATTGTAAACATCACATCTTTTATAGAGTAAAAATTTGCTTTTACTATAGGCTCCATAAATATAAATATTAAAACCATAATTATTTGCTTGAGATCTTGTTGCTGACATTTGAAAATAACTATTTACCATAGTTGTATTAAATGAATGTGACTCAAACCCCCAAATCAATTATTAATTAGTGTTTTACAAATTATTTTCATTAAGAATAATATTCATGAACACAATACTAATAGTAATGTAAAACTGTACCCAATAAATGAATAAGTAATGTTTATAAAAATGCTAGGTTATATTTTTAACTTTACACACTTACCTGTAGGAACAGTTAAGAAATATTTGAAGGCCCACCTCTTCCGTTTTCCTTTACTTGGAACATGGATTACGCCCAATGGCTCATATGGCAAGTTCTATACTGTAATACATTTTTATGCAGAAGTTATATGATAGCAAGATATTGTTTGGTGATATCTATAAACAAGCTATCTATAAAGAAGATAAAGGCATATATATCATAATACTGCCATCCTGTTGGCATTTTCTATACGTTTTTTGCACACGCTTGGAAAATCAATCAATTGATAATTCTGCCTTTCTGTGAAAACATTAGAATCCTGATAAATTGATGCAGATGAGAATGAATCTACACTGCCCTGTTTCAAAAAATATTTGTACCATTAAAGTAAGAACTAAAACATGTCTATGTTTTCTATATTGTACCCTTTCTATATGTATTGTTCCTTATTTTTCAGTGGTGAGTGTGGTTTTACAGTTTAGTGGTTTTTGGGCTGTATAGGTGCATGCTAAATTGATATCCCACCCAGTCTTCAAGGAAATCATGGATGCTTTCTGATTTGTCTAGTTTTAAACTGAACATGCATTTTATTTTAATAATAATAATATTAGACTTATGTATCTCTATCTGTATCTCTCTATTTGTATTTCTATATGTATTTCTATCTATCTCTATATATCTAGCTGTCTATTTATTTATAGATAAATAGAGGGAGTGTACTAGTTAAGCTGAGAGTTATTAAAAGAGGAACATGATGTTCTCCTAAACCTGGAACCTGAAGTGCTGTGTTCTTTTTAAATATTCTTTATTAATATAAAGACTAGAATACCAATATCCCCTTTCTGGAGTTCCCCATAGCTCATTAGACAAATTATTATCTCTGGAAATTAAGTTGCCATTTGACTTTGTTCTCATGCAACAGGAAGGAAAGTATTAGTGCCTCACCTGTACATTGTTCTCCAGGTAAAAATAATCATATAATATAATTAACATTTAAGCTTAATTCACACAATATGTATTATATTCAGCTGATTTTTTGAGAATGGATAGATATGAGTTGGTACCCAAGGTAAATATTCTATATGTGCTATTACATACCCTGACTTTTGGAATCAATCTACATTTTTGTAATGGCAGGACTAAACTCACAGAGTGAAAGGTGGGATATATCAACCCTTCTTTTCTCAAAGTCCTTTTCACAGACCTTCTGTAGCTGCTTGGTGGTTATCACTGCTTCCATTTTTTTTCTTGCAGGATGCCTTTCTCTGTCATATTCTCCTTAGCACTGGTCTGTGAAACAGATAGGACTCCATGGCTTATTGCATAACTTGTGAAAAAAAAAAACAAAAAAAAGGTGAAAGAATGAAATAAATTTTATAGTCCTTTTGTAGTTTTGAGGTATGTGACTAGAGAAACAAGTTCTTCTTCTTTGGGGAATTAGTAGGATAAATATCAGTTAAAACAAATAATATTAAAAATAAGAAAAAATATAAATCTTTTTTTAATCTTAGATAGTTCTGTGAGAAAAAATAAATATATAATGGAGGTTTGTTTCAAATCCCTGGTAGTAATTTAAAAAGGTGATCTCCCATGGAAAAGTATATAGAACAATATTAAGACTGAGCAACTCCTAGGATGGTAATTGGTTTGTTCCTATCTGAAAGCAGGCTGATGTAAAGAAATGCCACTTTGAATAAATCACAGAACAACTAAGCATGGATGAAAGATATAAATTTCCAGAGACATGCAGAAGATAAAGAAAAATAACTCTTGTGCAATACTAACTAGGCACTTGCCTTTCTCTTTCTTTCTTTCTTTCTTTCTTTCTTTCTTTCTTTCTTTCTTTCCTTTCTTTCTTTCTTTCTTTCTTTCTTTCACTAATTTAGCTTTAGATGGCATGCAACAGAGCTAAAACAATTAATTAATACATTAAAAGTATAAAAATCAAGTTAAAACAAAGAGGAATGGATGAAAGGGTGTTAAAAAGAGTGGAGCCACCTCATTAGTTCTCCTGGGGTCTCCAAGCCTGCTGGCATAACCAGTTCCTGAGCAATTCTGGAAGCTCAATGGTGACAAGGTGTAGAAACCATGGTGTATAGATTCACCTATCAATAAACTAAAGGGAAAGTTAGAACTAGATAGTGAAATAGGAAACAGGACTGAGATTCTATGCCATAAATCAGGACCAAATTAATTTTCAGTGTAATTGTTTACAGTTACATAATTCAGAATCAGAGTTTTATCAGAGTTTTGATTCATGTGGATTCCTAGGCTCTAGGCATGTAGGATTTTCTTTGGAAGAAAATTTGGTTGGCTGTTACAATATCATTCTTCCTGTATAAAGACTTAGGAATATTGTAAATTTTAGTGTAATGATGGCATAGGTTTTCAGCCAGATGTTTTTTTTTCCTAACAGCTGCAACCATAACTGTATATTCCATGGTAAATGTATGTCTGAGAAAATCTAATTAATGTCTCACTTGAACTGAGAGTCTTGAAAGTCAAATGAGTCAAAAATTATTTTAGGCTGCATATAACATCTTATAATAGCTTAATTCTAGGGGGTTTACTTCCCTGTTAGATGCAGTTCCTGTCATTTCAGAGCAAAAAGATCTTTTTAAAGAGACTTTGGTTTCAAAAGATTAGAAAGTATTCTGAGTGAAATATTAAGAAAACCTGTACAACTTTAATCATAGGACATGCCCATTTAGATAAGAGTTTTCAAGTCCCATTTGGGACCTGTGAGAATTGGAACCATTACTCTTTACATGTGTCTACCAGAGAGTCACAGCTGTAACATGTTGAAACAGCAAATTTATTCAAAAATTCTTTGGATAATATATATATACTGTATATATATATATATATATATATATATATATATATATATATAAAAACAAATAAATAGTGATCACCAGGAGAATAAATAGAAAAATATATTTAATAAACCTAGCTTTCGTTGGGCACTCCCGACATCGTCAGGGTTAAAAGCAGTCATAGGGAGAAAGCTTATATACGATCGCTAACTGCCTGCATCCGGCTTCTAGACTGCGTCGCCGTTTCCAGCTGATCATGCTGTGTTCTGAGTGTATCTCTTACATCAGCATGTGGTTTCTTCCTATCACCTCTCTGTACTCCGCTGTGCACACCTCCATCATTAACTCTGGGGCTGAGTGGGGTCCTTTCATCTCCTTTTCAGGTGTTAATTACCTCCATCCCCCACCTTCTTGTGTATAATTCTCTTTACTAGGAGGGGGGTGCAGATCATTCAATTTTCTTCTAGCCCTCTTGCGTGTCCCAGCTAAGCTGTGACCAATCCTCCTCACCCCTGACAAGCACAACTTAGGTATCTCGCTCCGCTCCATCTTATCTCCCTCTATGTGTGCTATCCCGGTTTGTTTGTCATCCGATCTGATGTCTCCCTCCCTACGTTCATGAGGACTACGTTCATGAGGGCGACACCTTGCCGCTCAGTTCGCTGCTGGTCAATGTCCTGTCCACTCTGTTCAAATCCCTTGTCTTTATCCTCCGCCAGGAGATTCCCCCACTGTGACAGTAGATATTCACGCTCATAGCCCCATGTTCCCCTATCAAACCAACCGATGGAGAAACCCTCCTGGAGCTGTTTGAGATCGCATCTGTTCGATCATGTGGGGGAATAGATGTAACACTCTTCCCCCGGTCATATGGCTCGTGCCTCGGTTTCCTCCAGAGATTAGAATGCCGGTTCGCATGCCATGTCCTTAGCATTAATTGTGCTGGGCACATATCTATCTCCCACCACATACATCAGACAAACCAACAGAAGAATAAGTGCACGCATTGAAGAACACAAGAACTCAGTCAAAAATGAGGAACCAACTTCTTCCCTGGTCCAACACCTTAAAGCCACAGGACATGAAATTGACTTTAAAAAGATTAGAACTATCGCCAAAACTGAACACTTTAATAACAGAATAATCAGAGAAGCCATCGAGATAGAAAAACGCCCACACAGCATGAATAAACGAGATGATACCTCCCGCCTACCAGCCATTTGGAAACCCGCCCTTATTGACAAATGAGTCCCTAACACAAAGAATGACACCAGACCCACACTCACGAAAACCACATAGGATGTCACCACCACACATCCACGCAAAAAGCAAACCCAAACACAGACCGATGATGAGGCATGACCACAAACTAGAAGCCAGACCACAGCTGCATCATTAGCCACTTTAAACCTCTCCAATCCATACATGAAGCAAACTGACACCCACCATGAAGATGAGGCATGATCACAAACGCGAAGCCAAACAACAGCAACGCAGCTCACCATCTCAAGACCCCCTGCAACTCAGACTAACTGAGCACAACAAAGCCCCCACCAAAACAGAACACTCCCCCATCCAATCAGAGCACAGCCAACCACCCCATCTAATCAGAGCCAAATCCATAACCAATCAGAACACACCTCCACCCAATCAGAACACAGCCAAGCCCGAACCAATCAGTTCATACGCCCACTGACAGTTAAAAGGAGAAATAGCTACGATCACACATTGCTCCTAGAAGCATAAAGCCGAAAACACCAGCCCGAAGATGATGAATGGGACTTCGTCAAAACATCACCAAGACACACACACACACACACACACACACACACATATATCTTGAGTGTTTCTTGATGCACCCTTTCGGCCCAAATATGGGAGAAAGAAATCTTCTTTCTTTTTCTTTTTTCTTTTTTCTTTTGCCTGTATCAGCTCAATTCAATCAGCTCAATATATATATAGGTGTGTGTGTGTGTGTGTGTGTGTGTGTGTGTGTGTGTGTGTGTGTGATATTGTGTTAGAGGATCACCTCACAGCTGATGTGAATGTTCTGTAATCTTTGTATTTGCCATATTCTTTGGTCTCCTCCAGGTTATGCTGCATTCCGAAATTTGCCCAGGTTTTTTTTTTTTTTTTAATTTCTGGTTAAAGGAACTTGTAGAATCTTCCAGTTTTGACTTAGCTGAAACAAAATATGGTTGATTATTCACAGAGTGCTTATAATTTAATCCAGATGTAGTGAAGAGAAAATATTGGAGATTGTGGCTTGCTTTTCATGTCTTGCTGGGTGGCAGGTGACATTTCTTTGAGGAATTCTTAAACCCCACATCATATTTTGTGATTTGTCAGTATGTTAATAAACAAGGAGGTAATATTTGAAGTACTGTATTTTTGTTCTGTGTTACTGATTAGTTTAGTCCATTGAAACAATTGGCCATTGCTATAAACATATCAAATAGTTATAAGACTCTACCAGATGGTATAGTGCTGTAGTTACTAGAAGCTGATATTCTTTAAAACCCATTTGTTCTTTGTTTATGGAGATTCTCAGTCGTCCAGGTCATGGTTGCCCCAAAGGTGCTTTTTCAAGAGGCAACTGGATGTTCTTTGTTTTTCCTTGAAGATGTTTTGCTTCTCATTCCAAGAAGCTTCTTCAGTTCTGACTGAAGGACTTCTTCAGAACTGAAGAAGCTTTTTGCATGAGAAGCGAAATACCTTCAAGGAGAAACAAAGAAAGTCCAGTTCTCTTGAAAAAGCACCTTTGAGACATACAGTATGTTCTTTGTTTTATATTTATTGATGAATTAATATTCTGGTAGGTCATGTAGGAAATAAATCTCTGACAAAAACATATTCTAAGCTGACTGCTTACTCCTCTGAATAAAAATATAGTGTTAGATTATAGTACTTTTGCTGATGACTCCAGGATTTTAATGGAATGTAGATTTTTTTTTTAAGAAAACCAAACATGACCTTGGGGAATGAATGTCCCTTTGACCCATATAAAAGGCAAGTTGCAGTACCAACATATGGAAATTATTTTCTCCTTGAACATGTCTTGCAAAAGGGAAGGTTGGAATTAGTGCACTGTGACTTGGTAACTACTTTCTCTCCTAGCTGCAATAAAATGATGGCGTATAACTACACTGCAGCACCATGATCATTACATATATGGCAGATGTCCATGGAAATCTATCCTTGCTAAAATGTCACAGTAGCAGCATATGCGTAAAGAAATTCACAGGCTGAGAGAAAATCCAGAGACAATTTACACAATTGCATATTCACATAGCAGATTTATATTGAATTCAGTACAGGCTGGAAAAAAAATCATACAATTGCTTCAGCATATGCATAATTTAGAACTCCACTCTTAGTTATACCTTTTTTTTAAAACTTGTATTCTTCTATTTTTGGAGTCTGTATTCAAAACTCTTTTAACTAGTACTGAACTGAAAGTTCTACTTACTTAACTTTTTACTGAAAAAGTGGAATAAAAAGCAAAAAGATTATT